AGAGAAAGGAAATTAGAACTTCCTATATACAATATTAATAAACAGGCCTATGAAAAAATTTGCTGTTCTCTCTGTAATTTATCAATAGCAAACATTCTGATTTTTTTTAAAGCAGAATTTTTTTTGGCATAGACGAACTTGTTGTAAGTCAAAGGTGCAGTGTGTGGGCCATGTAGGTCAGCTCCCTGGCCAGGGATGGAATTTACGCCATTCGATGATGGGGCTGAGACTTAACCCCTAGGCCACCAGGGATGCCTCATTTTTATTCTTTTATTTAAAAAAATGGCTGTGTTAAATTTATGAAGTGAACAAATAATAATGGGGAGTAGGGGTAAGTTAAATCAAAGAATGACTTTCAGAAAATGAAGAAGCCCGGTAAAATGACTTAGGCTGTCTCCATCTAAAGTTAATAATAGAGGAAATTGTTGAGACCTCCCTGGAAAGGATCCTTTCAACCCTGTCATGCCATTCTACATTTTTTTTTAGATTTTTAAAAAAAGATTAATTTTTTTTACTTATGCATACAGAACTGGGGTACAGGCAAGAGGTGCGGGGATGGTGAGAGTATTCACCAGAGACAGAGTGGGGAGCAGAACAGGCATATCACTGCTGAGGGAAGCAGTAGGCAGGTCAGGAGAGGTCTGCTGTGCCATGTGGGTCACCTCTTGGGTGGGGATAGAACTCATGCTTAAATGGCTTTAGCTTCTTAGTGCTGTGCTTTAAACCTGCTGCACCACCAGGGAGGGCCCCTATTCTACTTTTGAGGACACTTATTTTCACATATTAAGAAGTTGGATTTATTTATCCATTTCTTGTAATTAGTAATTTTTTCTTAGATGAAGTGACTACTGACTTTCTCACTTTAAGTTCATACTTATGTTGGCGGCTCTCTGAACACTACAGGGAATATTCTGAGGCTACTTGGACAAGCGACAGGCATTCTATGCTAACACTGGCCTCTTGATAACTAAGATTCCAGACATACTGCATTCTTTCAGACTTGCTACCCATAAACTCTGTGACAATTGGTAGAGCTTGGGACATCCACGACTACAAACTTCAACCTGTCTACTGTTCAGCAAAAGTCTGTGCTTATTGTTTTACTCATGTGTTCCCAAGAGTATTGCGATTTCTTTTCCATGAAAACATACCTATGTTCTCCTGCATCAAGAACAGAGACTGGTACTTCTGTACTGATAACTACTTTCTCCCACAAGGTGATTTATCTATCTTCTCACCAGGTAGGAAGCCTGGTATGACATCTCTCCCTGGAGCTGAGCAGAATTGATCCTCCTCTTGCTTTAAGTGAAGCTCAGCTTTGAGATCATCTTTAGGATTGATGTTTTGGGGAACAGTTGCTGCCTTGTTTTACCTGGACTTTCCTTATATTGAAGTCATATTGAAAAAGAGTGTGAGATGTGTAATACTTAGGACAATGCTTTTTGGTCACTCGTAAATGTGTATATCATAGCTGTGAACCATTCTTTAAAATAAATTAGCATGAGTTGTGTATTGTTAAATGAATATGAATAAGTTTTCATCATGTTCTATTTAAATATATTTCAATATATTTTGATTTAAGATTACTTTTCTTTGCCTTTGTTTTTATCCTATCTTAGTTTGATTTTCCCAGATATCACATGTTACAACTAGTTAATCCTAGTAAGTTGTGACTTTCTGTTTGTCAAATTAAACATTATATTCTCCTGGTTGCAGATGCACAATTACTAACAAGTGCTGACTTATTATTGGGATTTGTGACATAATTTCTTCCCAAATCCAGAAAAAAAAACTCATTTATTCTCACTCTCTCCAAGAAATTTTGAACTTTCCATATTAATGAAAATATATTTATCTAAAGTAAATGGAACACAATTTCTATTTTATTCTAGATGTTCAAATTTTTATTAGATTGAAATTTTGAAATAATTCTCTAGAACAATATGTTGGATTTTAGAATTTTGAGATTTTTGTTATTTTTATTTTAAAAAGATTTATTTACTTATGCATACAGAACTGGGGTACAGCCAAGAGGTGTAGGGGAAGTGAAAGGATCACCAGAGACAGAATGGAGAGCAGAACAGGCAGATCACTGCTGAGGGGAGCAGCAGGTGAGACAGGAGAGGTCTGCTGAGCTATGTGGGTCAGCTGTGGGAGACCCAACTCACACTGAAGTGGCTACCAGGGAGGTCCCAAGGGATCTCTGTTATTTTTAATAAGAAGGAAACGTATGTAGGAACTATGGGTGTCATTAATTAAGATAAATGCAAATTTTGTTATTTCCAGTAAAGGTAATTAATGATGGTGATTTGGGGAACTTTAGAAAGAAACTAGAATTGTTATACAATGGCTGCTTCAAATGATATAAAATTCCATTTTCATTAAAAGCATACATGAATATGCATATTCTTTAACAAAAATGATAGTTCTAATACATCATACATGATTATCACAGATATTGAATGTGAGATGATACAACATGAAGGCTGAGCTTGTGGAAAAACCCCATATAACTTGGTTCAGTCTGGAATAATTTATTAGCCTTGTGTCCTTATTAAAGTTGTTTAATCCTCTCTATTTTCCTCTCTCTATGTGTATACTCTATGAGAATTTATTTCATTGAAATGATGTAAGAATTAAATAAAATATAATGTATAAAAAGTCTTTGTATAATTCTGGGAACAGAGTAAGATGTTAAAATATTGTTCAGCCATTTTTATTGCCGAATGGTGAGTATTTGTCACTAGGGTATTTAAGGCATGGAAAAGATAGCCTATCAGCACTGTGGTAGAGTGTGAATAAATGCAATAATTCAGATATATAGTTATTCTGAATATAAGATATATTTATGTTATTCTAAGATGTAATAGTTAGCTAAACGGGAAACTATTATTACATCAAAGGATGCATAGTTTTCTCACAGTGTTGCATTTCCTGAACACTAATATTTTACAAAGTCTTATAACTTGCTTCACTTATAATCAGGGAAATCAATGCAAATCAAAATCACAACAAGCTACTACCACCTCACACCAGTGAGAATGACACATATTAAAAAAAAAACTGGCAAAAACAAATGCTGGTGAAGATGTGGAGAAAAAAGGACTCTCCTACACTACTGGTGGGAATGCGAACTGGTCCAACCACTATGGAAAGCTGTCTGGAGGCAACTCAAACTACTAAAAATGGAGCTGTCATATGACCCAGAAGTTTCATTTCTAGGAAACTACCCAAAGATCACAAAAATATTAATTAGAAAGGAAACCTGGACTCCTATGTTCACTGCAGCACTATTTACAATAGTGGGATATGGAGACAACCTTAATGCCCAGAAATAGATGACAAATCAAGAATATTCAATGGAATACTATTCATGTCATTCACTGCAACATGGATGGAGCTGGAAAGGAATAAGTTCACTGGAAATAAGTCAGAAGGAAAGAGAAAATTATCATGTTTTCACTTATAGGAGGACCATAGGGAAACCAAACAAAAGATCAGGAAAAAAAAGACAAAACTTGCAGGAAAACTATAAATTGGAGACATTCAGCTGGATAAGGAGAGGGAGAGGGTTCAAAACATGGGTGGGAAGAGCTCAAGAGACTATGGTGATGGTTCACAAGTGCCTTGGTAGTGGTAATTTTGTGAGAATTACACCTGAGATGAGAAAGAACAACAAGGTAGAAAGTATATAAATTATAAAAAAGTATATCTCCAATAAATTGAGCAAATCATAGTGGGGTAGGAATAAGAATCTTTTTTTTTTAAAGATTTATTTGTTTAATCGTACAGAACGGGGGTACAGGCCAGAGATGCGGAGTGTGAGAGGATTCACCAGAGACAGAGCGGGGAGCAGAACAGGCGGATCACCCAAGTACACTGCTGAGGGGAGCAGCGGGCAGGTCAGGAGAGGTCTGCTTCGCCATGTGGATCTCCTCCAGGGCAGGCGGGGATCCAACTCATGCGGTAGTGGCTTAAGCTTCTTTGTGCTGTGCTTTTACCCACTGCCCCACCAGGAAGGGCCCGGAATAAGAATCTTTTCATATAAAATATTAATTATTTTAAAGCAGAGTTTTGTCAAAAGCTGGCCCTGAGTTTTTTATATCCTGGCTGCCTGCATGCTTTGATAGGGACACCTGGTAACTGATCACATCACAGTTTGGTTAAGTGTTATACACAAATAACTTCAGGGCCCTCCACTACACATCACTGCCCCCTCTAAGTCCCTTACTTAGTAAGGGACTTCCTGAGTATTTTAGAGAGACCACTAAACTCAGGAGACAAACTTGAGAAATCTTTTCTGTCAGGTTAAATTAGTGATTAACTTTTAATTTCCTTCAGTGAAGCAGAGACATTTCTATCTGTAAGGAGACACAGATTACACCAGCCAATCAACAGCTCTACTTCTGCCAGATCATCAGTTACCAGGTGTCTAGCCTTTTGGGTTGTACACAGTCAAAGCAGGATTGAAATAGCTGACAGATTGAAAGGCCTTATTTTCAATTAAGTAGTCTGTCTAAATCTAAAATGGTACACTTTGATTAAACATCAGATTAAAGATATCCTAGCTTGCAATTACTTTTCCTTCATCCTTCAATTCCTAAACATGCTGGTATGTGCATTATCAAAGCAGCTCTGTCTTCAAGTGAAGGAAATGAATGTTTCTAAACTCATGTGCACATGACTGCACAGCCCAGAGCTGGTTCACAATTGGGGCTGATTAAAATGGTTCAGATACAACTGGATCAGAACTGTAGAGTACTGAGTTAAATTAATCACTTTAATGCGGGAAATTCTAAGTTTTAGAATAGCACCTGCAATCTGAATTGCTGACCAGCAACTGGTGATGCTATTCCCTGCTGATGCTGATTGGCTCTCAAAACTGAGCATACCCAATCAAGGAACAAATGAATTCTTTCTTGGTTGTGTTATCTGGGAAGTGGTGAAGAGCTACACCAGTCCATACTTAGTGAGACGTGCCTGCTCCCCTGCACTCCGACTTCTCTTGTTCTCAGCATGGTGTGTCTGTGGTTCCCAGGAGGTTCCTGGATGACAGCGTTGACAGTGATTCTGATGATGATGAGTCCTCCTCTGATTTGGGCCAGAGACACTCGAGGTAAGTGTACACCTGAGGGGTGAGTTATTGTGGGGTGAGGAAAAAGTTAGGCTATGTAACTTAGAAGATTTTGACATTTTCTTTAGTGACCATCTATCTTAACATATAGGCTCTCAAATCCTTCCACAATAAAAGATCCTGGATTCTGGCCCTCTCTACGAGACCTGTATAAAGTACTTCCCTTTATAGACAGTTTCCATTCAATGGTCTTCAACTATTCATTCTATTCCCCCAGAATGATTTCATTACAATTAGAAATAATGAAATTAAAGTAATTCCCATCCAGACTTCTTTTTGTTATGTTGAGTTATGCCAGAGAGCTGAAAGTTTCTCTGAAAATTTTATGGGAACAAAAAAGGAATTAGAAAAATCTCTCCTAATTATGTCAAGTAAAATAAATCAGAAGAGAGAAAAATACTGGATGGTTCTATTTATATGTGGAATATAGAAAAACAAAACAAAGGGTCAGAGGAAACCAAACTAATAGAAATCTGACTATAGAATTGAGACTACAAGGGATATGAGCAGGGAAACAAAATGAGGGGACACTGAGCTATGGAGGAGGACTATGAGTGCCTTGGTGTTGAGTGTGATGCGGGGACATGTATCTGAGGAGGTGTGATGTTGAGCCTTGGAATCAGAGTTGTAAGTCATTGTTACTTCAGTTAAAAAAAAAGAAAAGAAAAATCTCTTAGAAGATCCTGTGTTCTACCTTCAATAGAATCTGAGATATTGGTAACTTTCTCTCATATGCCACAATATATCAAGGGGCCTCCCCCATTATCTCCTTTCCATTCTCCCTGACCCCAATGTTTATAAAACTGATCCCTGTATTAGAGGTTCACTGGCAAAGTTGAGATTCCTGTTTTTTCTCTCTCTTTTTTCCCCCCTGTAGAAAGAATTTTAGAACTGAATCAGATAGCTTTAGTACCTGGAATGACCCTTTAGCTCAGGGCCTTCTAGGAATGTGATTTTTGTCATAAAGAACTTAAGCCATCTTCTGAAAACCTCACATAAGTTGGTGTTCATTATGAATCTAATTTGAATCTCACTATAGTACCATTTTGTCATAAAATTATATGTGTATATACATATAAAAGATTTATTTACTTAAGCTTACAGGACTGGGGTACAGGCCAGATGTGTGCTGGATGAGAGAATTCACTAGAGACAGAGTGGGGAGCAGAACAGAAGATTGACAAAGTACATTGCTGAGGGGAGCAGCGGGCGGTTCAGGAAAGGTCTACCACGCCATGTGGGGTCACCTCCTTGGTGGCGGATCCAACTCATGCTGCAGTGGCTTTGGAAAGCTTCATAATGTGGTGCTTTAATCCGTTGCGCCACCAGATAGCGCCCCATAAAATTATATTTTTAAGTAAAAAATAGTAAAAATATTAGAAATTTCATTTGCTTCAAATCATATACCCTGAGCAAAGGCACAGAGTGTTAAAATTATTTATATTCCAAAGGGCTGAAAGTAAGTTAGTCAAGGAATTCCATTGACCTTCTGAGGTGCTGACCTCAAATTTCAGTTTCATTCATCATGATCTATATTTTCATTAATTAGCCATGTTTGGCTTCCTCTGCTTCCAGCTAATCCCTGTTCTTCTCCCAGTTATGTCATCAGTAATACTGAAAATCCCCAAAGTTGGTGCAGACCCTCAGCTCTGTAACAGATTCACTGGATGAAATAAATTTTTCCATGTTTTTTTTTAAATCACCTTCTCTTTTCCCATAAGTATTTCTTAAAGCTGGTAGGAAGAAAAAGAGGAAAGCTGTCTCAATTGCTCAGAAGGCAGAAGAATTTAATGAATCATCAGAATAAGAGTGTTGGAGCGTTAAGGGTGCCCACAGTGATCAAGTTCCAGAACTCCAGGTTAATTATTTAATGTGTGTTATTGTGTGAATAATATACATATTTTTCTGGGCTCTATTCTAGGATCAGAGAACTGGGCTGTCTTCTAAGATCAGAGAACTTACCTAATGACACGGGACAAAGATAACCCAACAAACATTTAATGAAAGAAAATAGTTCAGAGGACAGTATGTGTCTTGAAAAAGTATACATCAATGTCTTTAGGATAGACAGGAATTGGAACCACCTGATTTCAGTCTGGGAACTTTCTATGAGAAAGTGACATTTAATTAAGAATGTTAAGAAGCCAGCCATATGAAGATCTAAAAAGCAAGTATTCCAGGGGGAGGGAACAGGGGAAATGATTAAGTGTGAGAAGATATTCACTGTGTTTATGGAGAGGAAGAACATGGCAGAAGCATAGTAAATAGGGTAGGCATATGAGGAGGCTGGAGAAGAATCAGGAACCAAAACATAGTAGGCCCCAATGACCATGGCAAGAAATTAGAATTTTATTAAAATAGACATATGAAGCTCTTTTCAGTGGTAGCTCACTTATATTTGTTCAATAAATAATACTGTCAATAGATTCAATGTGGAGATTAGATTGTAGTGATTCACAAGTGGTCAGGGAGACCATAAGGAGCATGGGAGAATCACACAGGGAAGATGGTTTCACTTAAGGTGGTGTGACAAAGACAAAAGCTAAGTTCAAGTGAACAATTTGTGGTAGACATTTGTGTAACTTGTTAATGAGTTAAATAGGAGAGGGGTGGAAAATTAAACATATAACTAAGTATTTTGTCTAAACAACTTGAATAAACTTGGTGGTGTTTATTAAGCTTGGCAATATGTGTATGGAAATAACTTGAAATGGGTGGTCAGAACCAAAGGTTCTGAAGTTTAAGTTTGAAAAGATTTTTTTGACAGTTATGTGGCTATTCAAGAGGTTGGTTGAATACTGGAATGTATTTCAGAGGGAGGCCAGAGTCGGGGGTGTATATGTTGGTGTCATTGACACATGGACTATGCTAAATATCAGGAAAGTTAAGGGGACACGTAAGGAGAGAATGTGTGTAGAAGACAAGAAAAGGGCAAAGATCAAACCCAGAGAATCCGGGGCTAGTCAGCAAAGGGGACTGAAAAGAATGTTGG